TTCCTTGTCTAATCCAGTTTTCATGCCAAAGACAAAGTGAATTCTTCAAAGCAAAACCTAGAGGGACATCAGCACTTACAAATTGCTTAATTAAAGCCATATTGCTCATCAAATTGCAGCTATTACACTTACCACATTTGTTGCTCGTTTTTGCACTGCATTTATGACAAGGAAAATTATATCATTTATATCATCGCTCTGCAGTTTAACAAACCCATGCACAGAAGTCTGTACAACTGTTTGATAACATCTGCAGATTACTTTACAAATTGTTTATATATGTACAAAAATCGGAACAGAAGACATAGTATACAATTTAAAACGGAATTATTACCATATGACCCAGCTTCTGCCCATCCAAGAAATTCATATTTGATGCGAAAGGAATCTTTTAATTTAAAACCCATGTTAGGCCTCTCCTGTTTCATTTCTCACATCATCTCTCCTGTAATTTCAGTGTGTGATTCACAATTAGTAAAAAATTAGGGGACATTTAGTGCCGTGAGCCCACACCACTGGGCTGATATAACCGTAATGCATTTCACACAGAATCTTTATGTTCAATGGACAGAGGTGTACCTCATTGTTGATAACATTACAGATTATTAAGGAGGTGCTGTCCTTTAGATGACACGTTGAACTGAGGTCTATTGAGCTTCTCTCAGTATCCTGGCCTACAATCCTGCGGAAAACATTAGTTATTCACTTCATGCCTATTTGTGGAACATTGTTGTGTGCAAATTTGCTGCTGTGTTCATCCACACAACACACAGATACTTTAGAATGTATCCTGTGAAGTGTTTTGAACATCCTACTCACAGGAAAGGCACTATACCAAATATGATTTATTATTTATTATTATTTGTTATTAAAGTTTAAATCACACCGTAAAAGTAGTTTTTAAATGGTTTTCAGCAATGGGTCAGCCAGACAATAACACTACAAGTTACATATGAATGTATGTCACTTTTCTTAGTATGTTTGAGTTTCCTAAAATAGCTAATTTCTGCAGGAGGTTCATATTTTGTTTGCCAGGTATTTTGTTGAGCTATTTCTGAATAGTTTTATTAATAACCTCAGTTGCACCGATGATTATGGGAATTATGCTTGTTTTATACTGCCAAATATGTCTGCATTCAACTTATGTTTCCTGATCTAGGAATATATGAAGTATTTTCTGATCTTCTCTAGTTCCTTATTTCTTACATTGTAATCACTTGGGATAGTCACATCAATAATACTATATGCACAACCTTATCATTTTATGATAATATCTGGATTGTTATAGATTATTGTTCTATCTCTATGTACTTGTGAGCCTCAGATTATTGTAATGTTATTTTTTGATGTCACTTTTGCTGGTTCCAACCAGTTGGTCTTTACATCAATGTCAAAGTGTTGACAAATTATCCAATGAATATATTCAGCTACATTGTTATGACAAATCAAGTAGTCTGACTGTGCTAGGGCTGGATACGATGACAATATGTGGTTTATTGTTTCTGGTGCTTGATTGCATAATCAGCATTTTGCATTAATGTTTCTCTTTAAGATCTTTTTTCATAATAACAGGTAGTAAGTAATAGCTCGGTCTTGTGCTGGTATTATGAGAGCTTCTGTTTTGTGCTCTCAGATTCTTGTTAGTCAACCAGTTGTAACTTTGATTAATATCTAGGCCTTGGTCTTTTATTCCTCTTGAAAATTCACTGTGCATGATTTTCTTCTCCCATTCAAAATCTTTTTAAGGACAATTTTCATTCCATGTGCCATTTTTGTTGGATGAGATGAGCTACTATCTATTTTAGATACTATCTATTTTTGATGGACGTCACAACAACAAGATTCCATTTATACAGCGTCCTCCTGACGTGAAAGGCGCTTTATAAATGGAATCTTGTTGTTGTTGTTGTTGTTGTTTGATCTTGATTGTTTCTTTAATGATGGAAAATTAAATTTTCTGTTTTTCATTTTTTCTATCATTTTGATACTGCAGTTGGGGTTTGCTTTGATATATTCAACTAATAGCTAATTTGTAAGATGTTTCAATTTCAATCAGGCCTCTTCCTCTTGTTCTTGGGATATGGATATGTTAGACATCAGCTTTTACAATAAGTAGACCATGAATCATGAACATTTTCACATTTTTCTAATGATGTTTTTCAGATCTTTGATCAACTAATCGATTTTACCAAAGCTGTAGGTTATTGCAATTGCATTAATAGCAATTTTTTTTTGACATATAACTTTGTTTTAGGAATATAGGAATTGATAGACGAATATAGACCAAGGCCCATTTAGTTCGCCTTCTACCATCCTGGTAGTCATATGCTACAATAATGGAGATTTTGATAATGATAGTTTTAAATACCAAGCGTACTCTTCTTATATATTCAGAATTATTTAATATATGATATATCTAATTGTATTATATCATATATTATAATAATATCTGCATTTGTTACAGTGCCTTATCGTGCCTTCGAGACGTCTCAAGTGCTTCACAGAATATACTGCAAAGTGAATTGAATGTATATTTTGTGAGCGAAAAAGAGAGGGAAGGCAGTGTAAATTAATTGGTGACATGGATTCAAATATAATTGAACTCCATAGGGGTGAGATCTGTTCTAGCTAGCCGGAATTTCCAGCTGAGTGTAATATTTCACATATATATTCTGTAAATATCTCATATATTATATTTACATTATTAATACAATACAGAATTACATTTGTATAGCGCCTTTCATGTCTGGAGGACGTCCCATAGCGCTGGACAGTCAGGTATTTGGACCTGAGCAGGGGATTAGGATCAGGGAGGGTGGAGCGCAGGGAGGGTAGAAGGATGACTGAAGGCGTGGTCAAAGAGGAGGGTCTTGAGATGTGCCTTGAAGGAGGCAAGGAGTGAGCGAGGCGAAGGGAATGTGGGATGGAGTTCCAAAGGGTGGGGACAGAGAGGCTGAAGGCCCGACCACAGATAATATTATGAGAGGCCTGTCATGGATCCTTGAGGTGAAAGGCTAACAATTCTCCCCAACAACTGCCATTTCCTCAATCCATATCTATTTATTTGTATAAGTCTCAATTCTAATCTCAGCTATAGTTCTCTAGCACTTTTTGCATGGTTCTGTTACATATATCTACTATTCTATGGGAAAAAATTATTTTCTCTTTAATCTTGCTTCAGGCTTGTTCATTTTGTACTTTTCCCCTCCAGATTTGCAATGAGCATTTGAGTTCTATAATTTGCCCGCATCTATATTACACATGCCTCTCGTTGTGTTAAAGACCTGAGTATGTCTCCGCTCAATCTTCACTTGCAACAATTCCCATCCTGTGGGAGTCACAATATTGGTGTGTAAAGTTGTGTTATTTTCAATTTGTTCTTTTAGATGTTACCTCTGAACGGCAGATTAAACCCAGTCATAGAAGGATTGTACCTTGCAGAGCTGAGTCCACAGTAACAGAGCTCTGTGATAAAATACAAGTCATGAAAGGTCAGTGTCTTGAATGCAACTCTCAAATAATGTAAAGGCCATTTTATATTAAATGGTGCAGACGTGATGAGACCATTCGTGGCTAATGTAGTTACCTTGTTTATAGCTGCAAAAGGCAATGCCATAAATTAATTTGAATCGCGTAAGCGTGTCACTTGAACACAATACCACCTACGAGAAATGTACTTCTGAACTCTGCTGGCTCTTCAATCTCCACAGACAAAGACCAGTTTGTCAAACACTTTATCATTACGACAGACCCCTTTAAATTAATAAAAGCCAGGAGATCAATAAAGTAGTTAATCTTTTCCTGAATCTAGAAGGATAGGAAAATGAATTCAAACCTTGAGCTGTATTGGTTGGCATGATTTGTGACAGGAAATGTTGAAGACAGAAGTAACCCTAGAGGTGAAGGAGAAGGAAGGGAGTGTAAGTGAGTTGGTGACATGGATGCTAATAGACTAAAGCCCGGCTAGCTGGACTAATGGGGTGGATGTGGTGAGGGAACCGGTCCGGCGAGCCGGAATTTCTGGCCACTGTGAAGCCTAGCAAGGACAGTGAGATGGGGACATGCGCTAGGAGAGTTGGACCATTGGGAGTCTACACGTTGGCTCGCGGAAATATATGGCCCCTGTTCCGGACTGGCTAGGCTTGAATTCCGGACACCTGGAGCCCAGTAAGGCGAGGATTTCCTGTAATCCTAACATTTGATATAGTGCCTTTCATGTCGGGAGGACAACTGAAAGCACTTTACAGAATGTACCATAAAGTATGGTATACAAACACGGTTGCCAATCTGCGCATAGCAATGTCCCACCAACAGCCTGGAAGTGAATGATCAATTTTATTTGAGGGAATGTTGGCCAAGACACTGAAGAAACCGCCTTCTCTTTTTGAATAGTGCAATAGGATCTTTAACGTCCACCTGAACAGGCAGACAGGACCTTGATTTAAGGATGAACACAGCTGAGATGAATGGTGACAGTGAGCAGGGCTTATTATCTAACTGACGAAGACCAAGGTGGGTGAGAAATAGCCATTGACAGACACTTTAAAATTGGAGTCAATTTCTTTGCCAAATAGTTTGTTCAATTCCATTTCAAGTTTGCTGACACAATCTCCGTGGGTAGTCTTTTGCACATAATCATCCTTCTCCGTGTAAAGTAATTAAATCTGAACTATTGTACATATTCAGCATTCTTTTTCTTCAGCCACTCCAGTTTTTGTGTCTATCAAGTCCACACTGGCTTTATAATGATAGCTCTGAAGGCTCTCCTTCCCTCTGTGAAGGAGTCTGTATCCCCTTGGCTCTGGGAGCGTTGACACAAAAGGCCACAGACATATAATATTGGAGCCAAGCTGTTGCGGTATTAATGGAGGTTCCGAAAGTGACAGTGTGATTCCACCCATGATGGTAAAATGAGAAATCCACCCTTTTTCCAGTGTTATTGCTACATTCACATCGTGTTGACACACTATTAACTATACGTCAAGTATAACTTCTTCAGCTTTTGTCATTTGACAGTTTTATTTTGCTGCAAATTCCTATCTTAACGATGCATTCCATATGTTGACAGCACATAGTTGTTGGTGCACATATTGAACATGGCATCAGTTCAATTTATGAACAACTGGAGAAACCTTTAAGTTCTACATAATGAAGTCAGTCACACTTCCTACCAAGTAGATGTGCATGGAACATTGCATCTTTACTTAACGATTTCAGGTCTGATATACAGTGGGTAGTTTATCCAAGAATGAGTGCCCCCAAAATGATATTTATTCTGAACAAACGGCTCTTACCTGGATGTCACAAGGCAACTATTTTTATTGTTGCATAAAATTCAAACATCACTGCCTTTTCCACATGTTAAAGAGCTTCAATTCTTTATAATAGGTCTGAGATTCATAATTTCACAGGAAGTTATACACACGTAGATTTGGAAAAAAAACACACACATTACTATAATCAATTGAACTGGATTTCAGAAGCTCTGGAAATTTATACTGTCGGCACTTTTGGCTTGTCTGCAGTACCATCGTAAAGAGGGTTGCAAAATGAAAGGGGAATATTGGCTTTGCTGGAGTGGACCTGAAAAAAATTAATAAGAAATGGTGAAAATCTACACATTAAAACAACATTTTAAAATACAGGTGGATTGATGTACGGTTCACTGAAGTTTAATTAAATGCTGACAGATTGTTGGGATCAGTGATAACTTCAGGATTGCTCATATCCCACAGTTTTCTCCTCCCCCACTCCGCCCCACCATATGCCCTGCTCCAAATCTAGAGGTCAGTGAATCACTATGAAGAATGACAACACGTCAAATTCTTAGCAAGCTTTACTTACACACCATTAATTTGGGTAAATTAAATGATTTATATAGAAATACATGGGACTAGACTGGAGCTAGGATTCTGAGACAAATGGCAAAACTCGGCAGCCAACTGCACACAGCAGTGTCCCACAAACACTCGTGGATTGAGTGAACAAATTGTCATTATTTTTAAAGGAATTATTACCCCCAGAAAAGCGATCCACCAATCGACTAACAACCGGGTTCCTACTTACTGTTAGGTAAACAGAGGCGTGTGGAGTAAGGAAACTTGCCCAACGATTTGCCCTGCCCTGGAATCGAACCCAGGTCCTCTCGTTTGCTCTAACCACTAAGCTACAGGACTCAATATTAATAATATTAACAAATGCAAGGATTACTATTAATTACCTCAATATCTTTCCTGACAATGCATTTATGGGGACCTCACCAGATAATAATAGTAATAATCAAAATAAATAATATTATTCAATGTAAAGTGGGACCCCGGTAGCAAATTTGCATGTAGAAATGTCCCATAAAATGCCATGAATAAAATGACCAATTTTATGTGGGGATTTTCTTAAGAGGCATGTGGTAAAGGTCTGCATTGTGTTTCGTACATGCGAAGTAACACTTGTCGTCAATTTAGCGACTTTATGATATTTATTACACTGACTAGTCCCAGATGTGCTGGACTACTAGGTGTCAGCCTGGCACAGTTGGGAGCACCCTCGCCTCTAAATCAGAGGTTGTTGGTTCAAGCCCCATGTCAGGTCCTTGAACTCATAGTCTAGGCTGACACTTGACAATGAAGTGCTAGTGTGTGCGTGCTGCATTTTTGGAGGTGCCGTCCTTTGGGTGAGTTGTTAAGCCGAGGATCTATTTAACTGTTCACCTGATCCCACAGCATGATTTGAAAAGAGAAGGGAGTTTCTCCTGGTGTCCTGGGCAACAATCCCTCAAATAAAATTTAAATTTAATATGTAAATTTTAAATGAAGACTCAACAGTGTGTTACGATAAAACAAATGCAGCAATAACACTGCACAATAAAGTGCACATATTTCTCAATCACATTGTCATTTTCTGAGCCTCCATAAATACCACAANTTTTTTTTGATATAAACTCCATACTAAATGCAAGGACTATTATGACTAAGCTGTCTGATTCTGTGAGTGACCGGCTGATGCACAAATGTCTGCCCTCTAAAACAGCACAGCACACTCATAACTTCTTCACAGGAAAGTAAACCATCAGATCCTCCCAAACTGCACAAACCAAACCTGGAATACCAACCATGCAAAAATATAGATCTCATTTTGTTCATCTTGCTTTGTTTTAATTGGATCAATGATAGCATTTAAATTCCATTAAATCTAATCATAATAATAATTGCTCTTAATATAGTGGCTTATCATATCATTGCAACGTCTCAAAGCACTTCACAGAATCTAATAATCCTTGCATTTGATATAACGCTTTTCACGTCTTCTAGACGTCTCAAAACGCTCTACAGAACATACTGTAAAGTGAATTGACTCTATATTTTTGGGCGAAATGTGGCAGCCAATTGTGCACAGCAGTGTCCCACTAACAGTCATGGAATGAAGTGACCAATTTTATTGTTGTTTCTTTTCTTGAGGGATTACTATCAGACGTGTGGAGTAAAGAAACTTGCCCAAGGTTTCGCCCTGCCGGGAATCGAACCCAGGTCTCTCGCAGGAAATCTATTGTAAAGTGGATCGATAGTATATTTTGTGGGTGAAACAAAATGTACCTTTATATTGAATAAAAATCTACCTTTATACTGATGTTAGGAGAGATTATTGAGCCTCTGTGATATAAAATGTTGCCATTTATTATTGGTCAATCCCAGTGGAGAGAATTTGGTGATAAAGTTGGGAGTCAAAGTAGCAAGGAATTAGCGAGACCGCTTTTAAGAAGGGCAGTAGAGAAGCAGTTGATATTTCCTCTGCTTACCATATGCTGATTGCCCCATGGATACACACTGATAGATTCACCGGTCAAGACATTTTTTGTCGCAAACTGAAAAGAAACAACACAGTAGCCTAATGTTACTTTGGCAAGCAGTCAGTGTCCTTCGACAGTTATATTCCAATAACTGTCAGAGACACCAGCACCACAGCAGGACATGACTAATCACATTTTTATTGAACAAAACTGAACATATCCCAGAATAGCACTCTAACTGAAAGAAACGTTTTGTCTTGAGAATTTAATTTTTAAACTAGGAATTACTGTATTGATATTTTTCTATGCCGCCCCGTGACTTTCATGGGCAGTCACTGGCGTCCTGCTAATATTGACAAATACAGGGATAAGCAGATTTCTTTTGGTAGAGAATAAAAGACAAACCACAGATGCTGGAAATTTGAAATAAACCCAGAAAATGTTGGATCTGCACAGCAGGCACATCAGCATCTAAAACCCATTGAACCTGTCCTCTTTCAGACCCTGAGAACCTGCTGTGCAGTCTCAGCAATTTATTGTAGTTGATTTTGTGTGTTGGGGATGATTCAGTGCCATTATATTTAATGAGCAGGTTTCAATTTCAGGATTTCTTACCAAAAGCAATCGGGTACATAGGGTTATGATTGACTTCAACATCATTTTTTTTTACTGTTCCCTTTAATGTGGATTTCTTTTAAAACCTCCTTCAACTGTACGTGAATATCACATGACTTCTCCGGGAAAACTGGCTAGATATATGCCTGGATCAGTCTTTGTTTTGGAGGACAAAAGGACGGGTATGGACTGAGAAGGAATATAAGAATCTACAGGACTCAAAAGGGACATTGCAGCATATCTGGCCAGTGGCAAAATAGTTTAGAAAGGCTTATTTCGCACATGGATAATTGATAGATGCAGTGTTATCGCAGAACCTACTGAACAGACAATTGGACATTTTGTACAATTTTGTAGGATATAAAATGCGGTGATTTCAAACGGGATTTATTTTTTTAAAATAAAAGGCCTTTAACGTACAAATGGGAAATTTTGCTTGGCACCTGGGATTACTTCACACGGGAGAAGAGGGAACCCAAGCTGGCGATCATCATGTACAGTACAGAGCTGATTATCTGCACTAATTGGGACCGGTCCCATTGTGAACATCACCCAAAATAAAAAATGGTTACGGTGCTAACTATACTGTTTCTTCAGGAGTTACACTGTCATTGTTGTACCACACAGTGCCAACTCTTCTCTCTCTGCTACACTGTCTCTGACTCCCTCTGTTTAACTCCTTTTTTCTCCCTGCTCTCTCTCTCCTCTCCCTCGATCCTTCTTACTTTATATCTTTTCCGTCTCTCTCTATGAATTTATCTCTATCTCTATGACTACCTCTATCTTTTCCTGTGACTCTCAACCTACGCTGCACAAAAGTATGAACACTTTTGTCCTACTGGCAAAAAAAAATGTCATTCACCTGTGTGAAATTGTACATGTGCATTCAAAGGTTACTAGTGACATGCTTTAGTCCTGCTGTTGTTTAGTCTCACTGTGCAAATGAATGGAAACCCTAGTAACCTCATGTGTATGTGCATAATTTCACCTTTAACTGTTTTTTTTCTGGTATCTAACAGCCCTGTGTCTGCTTTCCCATTGGAGTGTAATGTGGATAAATGGTCATGAAGATAGTTGACATGCGGATAATCAGTACTCTCTTTATCTGCTTTCAACACAACAAGATTACATTTGCATCGCGCCTTTCACATCAGGAGGAAGTCCCAAGGCGCTGGACAGAGTAGAGCATTTCAGACCCGAGCTGGGGTCAGGGGTGGAGAAGGGAGGGGAGGGGACAGGGGGTGGCTGATGGCATGGTCAAAGAGAAGGGTCTTGAGGCGGGACTTGAAGGAGGCTATGGAGGGGGCGCGGTAGAGTGATTGGGGGATGGAATTCCAGAGGTTGGGGGCAGAGTGGCTGAAGGCTCTCCCGCCAATGGTGGGGCGGGTGGGTCGGGGGCCATGGAGCAGGCCAGAGCCGGCTGAGCGGAGGGAACGGGCGGGTTGGTAGGGGTTAGGAAGTCGCAGCGGTAGGGTGGGGCGAGGCCATGGAGGGCTTTGTAGGTGAGGACCAGGATCTTGAACTGGATCCTCTGAATGATAGGGAGCCAATGGAGTTGGGTGAGAGTGGGGGAGATGGTGCGGGAGAGGACACGGGCTGCAGAGTTCTGGATTATCTGCAGCCTGTGGAGGGAGGAGTTGGGAAGGCCGACAAGCAGGGCGTTTTCATAGTCGAGCCTGGTGGTGATGAAGGTATGAACAAGAGTTTCAGCAGCCTGAAGGGACAACAACAACAACAAAATTACATTTGTATAGCGTCTTTCACATCGGGAGGATGTCCCAAGGTGCTGGATAGTCAGTGTTTTGGACCTGAGCTGGGGGTTGGGATTGGGAAAGGTGGAGGGGAGGGGGTTAACAGGGTGATCGAAGGCTCAGTCGAAGAGGAGGTCTTGATCTTGAATGAGGCAAGCGAAGGGCTGATGTGGGAGTACTGTGGGCTGGTGTTCCAGAGGGTGGGGGCAGAGTGGCAGAAGGCCGCCCACCATTGGTGGAGCAGGCGAGTTGGGGGACGTGAAGCAGGCTGGAGCACGCTGAGCGGAGGAAGGGGGCAGGTTGGTAGGGGGTTAGGAGGTTGCAAAGGTAGTGGAGAACAAGGCTGTGGAGGGATTTGAAGGTGAGGACCAGGATCTTGAACTGTAACGTCTGTGATGGGAAGTCGGTAGAGTCAGGCAAAGATGGGGGAGATAGGGTCACGGAGCCTGGTGCAGGAGAGAACATAGGCTGCAGAGTTCTGGATGATCTGTGGAGGGAGGAGTTGGGAGGCCGACAAGCAAGGAGTTTGCATAGTCAAGCCTCAATGTAATGAATGTGTGTACGAGGGTTTCAGCGGCCTGTGGTGTGAGACAGTGGCGGAGCCAGGCAATGTTGCCGAGGTGGGGGAAAAGGCAGAGCGGGTCATGGCATGGATGTGGAGTAGAAAGGATAGTTGAGGGTCAAATAAGATGCCAAGGTTCCAGACTGGCTTCGCAAGGTGGAGTGTGCATCATTGGATGGTGATGCTGTCAGCACCTGAGGTGTGGAGGCGCTGACGGGAGTCAATCAGGAGAGCCTCGGTCTTGTTGCCGTTCAATTGAAGAAAGTTACCTCTCATACAGGACTTGATGTCTGACATCTGGAGTAACAGGAGAGGAAGGAGCAAAGCTGTGAAGCAATGACTCGTTCCAGGACCTTGGAGAGAAAGGGAGGTTGGAGATGGGGTGGTAGTTTGAGAGCACCAATAGGTACAGTGAGGGTTTTTAAGGACAGGAGTAATGGCGGCCATTTTTAAAGGGGTGGGAATGCGACCAGTGTACAGGGAGAGGTTTATGATATCTGTGAGTAGAGGGGCAAGGAGGTGAAGCTGGGAGGTAAGGAAACAGGTAGAGCTAGGATTGAGGGAGCAGGTGCTCGGTTTCATGTGGGTTATAGTGGTGGTGAGAGAGGAGTGGGAGACAGGTTTGATGGTGTGGAGGGAAGCATGGGTAGGGGCCAGGGTGTGAGGGGGAGCTGGGGAGAGGGTAGTAGATGGAAGGGCAGAGGCAGCTGAGCGGATCACCTTGACTTTGGATTCGAGGAAGTCCAGCATCACCTTGCAGTGGCATTGGAGGTGAAGATGGGCGATGCAAGAGAGAGTGGGCGAAGGAGCTGGTTGGTGATGGAGAAAAGGTGCCTGGGGTTGTCCTTGGTCTCCAAGATTGTCTTGGAGTAGAATGGCGATTTAGCAGAGGTGAGGATGAAGCGGTAAGATTTGATAAGATTTCCGTTTAGTTCCCTCACAAAGTTACTGTTGTCACCATCCTCCAAAATTTCATGGAAATACATTTTATACACAGCAGTTGCATTCATACAGTAACTTTCACGTAAAGTCTCAAAATGCTTTACAGAATCAGATTACAGTAAAACCTTTTCAAGCAACCACCTCCATTCAACAACCACCCCTGTTAACAATCATCCTGGAACAGCCTAGAGAAAAAAATACACCAACAAACCCATACTCAGAGGCCACCGTTGTATAAAGGCCATTTTGACTCAGTCTCCCGAGGGGTTGTTGAAGACAGGTTTGAGAAATTAAGGTATTTAGAAATTAAGTGAATGTTGTCGATCAGACAAATGGGCAACAGCCTATAAATAATTTGGATTTTTCAGGTCAATTTTGTATGAAGGGGACAAATCTGTCACTTTCCTTTGAACAAAAAGATTTACAAGGAAGCAAACAGAATGTTGGAAGTAAACAAGAGGGCTGAAATTCCATCTGGTCTTACTCCCGAATATTATTTTGTCTTAAAAATTTCAGATTGCACTGAATTGTGGAAAATTCTAAAATTGAGTCTTAATTTTGAAACTGATTTTCCTGCAGTTTCTACCAAGAAACCAGCTTCCAAATTTGAGATTGAATTTAAGAATTTTCCATAATCTTCAATTTTAAGGCCAGATGGTCTTAATAGCTAAGAACAGAAGGAATATTCGGTGAATAATGTTGAAATTCAATGAATTTTTTTGGATGGGTTTGAGTATATATAAATAATGACATTGGCCATTTGTTACAGTACAATGGAATTTAAATAGATTTTTTTGCAAGGGTTTGAGTGTTTATAAATAATGGTTGCTGACATTGGCCATTTGTTACAGTACAATGTTATTGTTGGAATCAGCTGCATTAAACAGATGTGAGGCATCTCGTGGAATGAAACTTACCTCAGCAGACAGATCTGCATTTGGATCCCCGTATAAAATATTGGATATGGTGTTACTTTTGGGTGAAGACAAAGGTATCCTTGAAAGAGAAAGAAAAAAAGAAACAGGTTTCAGATTATTCTATTCAGTTCCATAAAACCCATTAAGGTTCAATTTCTTCCAACACAAAGGCATTTGTAAAGGCATTTGTAGGTAGAGAATGCATTCCTCTCAAATACACTTTCAGATGTTCTGACATGAAATGTCGGCATACCAAATGGGATTGTTATTCAGTTATTTGCCTTGTTTGGTTCTCAAGTTTGTTGCTGTTTCGGCTCCTACACTCCTACAGTTGTAAATTTCTGTCTAACATAGCTGTAAGGTTCAAATACTCTATATTAACTCTAGGCCATGAGATTATTCCCACAGTGCAACTAAAACCAGCCAAGTACTTCAGTTGGTTAAATGGCTGAAAAATAAGTAAATGACTGATTGATTTTGACTGTTTACTGGCAAAAGGGGTACTGTCTTTATGCGAATATATTTGGCATTCCTTATGTTATTTGGTGTCAGCCAGTCTCAGTTGGTAACACTCTCATTTTCTGAGTCCATAAGTCCTCTTCGCCCATGCTTTCAATCACCCTGCTTCCCCCCCTGCCCTCCACCCTCCCCAATCCCGACCCCCAGCTCGGGTCCGAAACTCTGACTGTCCAGCACCTTGGGACGTCCCCCCGACATGAAAGGCGCTATACAAATGTCATTTTGGTCATTCACTTCATGGTTGTTTATAGGACATTCTGTGAAAATTAACTGCCACATTCATCTAAAAATACATCTACAAATACACAGTCATTACAGTTTATAGTAAATCCTGTGACATGCTCTGAGATGTCCTCCTGATGTGAAACAATACACAAATTGCATTTATATAGTGCTTTTCACGTTACTTTGTAAGAATGTCCCAAAACTTTGGACAGCCAAAGACACCTATCAAATGTAAAGATTATTGACAGCAGTCAATTTGTCCAAAGCAATATCCCACAAGCAGTGAATAACTAATTGTATCTGGAGGATTGCTGGCCAGGATACAAACAAACTGCTTATTATTATAACACTATATGTCTTGTTTAGCATCCACCAGAACTGATAGATTTAGTTGAACATTTCATCCAAAGGAAGACAACTTTAAGCATTCCCCCAGTACTGCACTGAAGTGTTAACCTAGACTTTGAGCTCAATGTCCAAGCTGGGACGTGAACCCACAACCTTCTGATGCAGAGGCAAGAGTGCTATCAACTGAGCCAGGCTGCTCTCTCATACCTCTGCAACCTCCTAACCCCTACCATCCTGCTTTCTCCCTCTACTCAGCGGGCTCTGGCCTGCTTCACGTTGCCCGCCTCTCTCGCCCCACTATTGGCGGGTGGGCCTTCTGCCATTCTCGCCTCCTCCCTTGCTACCTTCAAGACCCATATCAAGACGCTCCTCTTCAATTGTGCCTTCGATCTCCCTGCTTCCCCCCACTGCCTCCACCCTACCCCACCCTGACCCCGAGCTCAGGTCGGAAACTCTGTCTGTCCAGCGCCTTGGGACATCCTCCCAACGTGAAAGGCGCTATAACAATTTAATTTTGTTATTGTTGTTGTTGTTGACACCTAAGAGTAAAACATTTGACAATTTTCTGTAAAGTGCCCATGAATTCTGATAGGCAGATTTAGATCAATAGCTGAAATAGATCTGTTAATAATTAACATTTGGTTTAAATGATTATTTCTAAAAATGAGAGCTTGGGTGTTGATGCACAGTTAGACGTTTCAGTTCCCACATGCCTGTAGGCCAGCAATACAGAATGGTAATGAGAGACTAGTAGAGCCGTGTAGGTGGACACACAACGTTCTCTTCTGGATTTCATTCCAGGACAGACTAATAGGATGTGAGTCTCCTGCTGGTTAAAAGAATCATAAATGAATTGGATCAGGGAAATTCAACCAAGTTCTTATTGGGTTTGAGATTATAGAGTAAAGCTATTTGAAAACATGCAGATCCACATAAAGGGATAAGACAAAGGCCTGTGTGGTAAAAGGGTAAAGTGGTGTTTTTGTACAGTTCAGACGAAAACTTAGCTGAGGTAGAAGAGAGGAAACTTTTCTCTGTGTCTTACCTAAGCTGTACTGTACCCTCAAGTGTATGGTAATGACACTGAGTCTCAAAAAGTTGAGGNTTTTTGCATTTTCCGAAGAAACATGGGAATGTGAACATAGTAACCAAAATCCTAAATCCTAGGGGTTGAAATATGTAACATTTTATAGCACAACCCTTATAATTATCACAAGGAAAACATGAAATGTAAATTATTTTATGATGGTTGATAACAACAACTTGGATTAACTAGGTAACTGGCTACTGGAGGTGGACTAACACCTTTCTCAATTGTTTTGCATCTAACTGGTCACTTGTGTGTCGAACCACCTGATACCGGTCAATGGGATGCCACCAAAACTTTGATTTATTTTGTTTATTTTGGCCAGTTCTCTAGTAACTGGCTGTCCAGTGTCTCACAGAATCCAATGCCCTACTTGGTTTGCTTTTTGATTCAACTATTGAGAATGTTATTGAAGTCATGGGATCCACCTTCTGCAGAACAGTAATAATAATAATCCTTGCATTTGATACAGCACATTATCACGTCTTTGAGATGTCTCAAAGCACTTCACAGAATACACTGTAAAGTGAATTGACTGAATTTTTGTGAGCAAAACACAGAAGCCAATTGCACATAGTAGAGTCCCACAAATAATCGTGGATTGAGTGACTAATTGATTATTTTTTAATACTTTTTTGAAGGGGTCATCATCCACAGAAAAATGATCCACTAATTGAGTAACAACTGGGTTCCTACTTAATGTTAGATAAACAGAGGCTTGTGGAGTAAGGAAACTTGCCTAACATTTGGCCCTGCCTGGGAACCGAACCCAGATCCTCTCGCTTGTGAGGCAAATGCTCTAACCAATACTCTACAGTGATGAAACTCCTTGCTCTTATTGAGTAGTGCCATTTAACATTTACCTGAATAGATAGACAGGACCTTGGTTCAAGTCTCAGCTAAAGGACGGCACTTCTTACAATGCAGTGCATCCGCAACACTGCATTGGAGTGTCAGCCTAGACTGTGAAGTCAAAGTCCTGATGTGAGGTTCCCAGGGAGAAGTTAGGGAATGTTGTGATGTTTCAAATTGCAGGGTGGCAATTTGAAACATCACAACATTTAATTTTTTTTTACTGTGACAGAAAGTCTTGCTTAGGTAAAGCACAGAACACACGTGGGTGTGCAGTGCACTGGCAGAGTGGCAGCTCTATTGGTTGCGGCTGGATTTTTAAATTCAGCAACTGCCATATATTATTAATGAGCTGTCCTCCTTTATTTGAAGAATGCTTGTCGTAGAACCCATGAAAACAAAGTTATGATGGGTTGCAATAGACTGGGGCATAAGCTGAATGTATTTTGAATAAAGCAGGAGATCCCATTGGTATTCTACTTATACCATTTGCATTTAGAATTTATTGGTTTACTATGAAAATGAAGTGCAATCAGATCCTGAACATTGAATCCTAATCGACCGGTGGCCACACACTGCACAATATCCAAGTGCTTGGCACAGCGACTGTCAATCACCCCAGTGACACTGATGGCAACAATGACTTGCATTTATATAGTGCCTTTCACATAAAATAAACTTCCATTGATGGTAGTTTCAGGGATCAGAGTTTATCTTTACAATGCTTTGGAGGGCACCGAGTCGATAATGCCAGCTAATAATCTTGCATTGCGGAGGTAGGTATTGTCGTGGGGTTTGGTTGCTATGGGAAGTGCTGTTGTGGGATTTGATTGCCTGGAGGAAAGGTTGTCTCGGCGTTTGATTGTTGGGGCAGTGGCTTTGCTGGGGATGTCGGGAGGAATGCAGCTACCGCCCACGTCTCCCCAGGGAGGTGCACCCCATAGTTTGAGAACCTCCGATCTGCAATCATACAGTCGGGATTTTACAGCACAGAAAGAGGCTGCCTAACCTATTGTGTCTGTGCTGGCTCTCTGAAAAAGCTACCTTCTTAGTTCCATTCCCTCACCTTTTTCCTTATCCCTCTCATACATTTTTCCAATATCTGTGTTTGTCTAATTTCAGTTAAAAAGATATTATGGATTCTGCTTCCTCCACCAGTTTTGATAGACCATTCCCAGAGTTAAAATATGGTGAAGGTTTGATCCGGTGCCTTTGGTGATGGTTGGCACTATTGGGATTTCTTCTATTATATTCGTGTATTGCCAAAGGCGCTTCATGTAATCCCAACTGGAATTTCACAACACTCATCTCTTCATTACCCTCTGTGTAAAGTAAATATCTAACCCAGTAAATATCAGGCCTAATAATAATCCTTCAAGAAAAAATAAATTGGTCACTTCAATTCACGACTGTTTGTGGGACACTGCTGTGTGCAATTTGGCTGCCGCATTTCGCCCACAAATATACAGTCAATTCACTTTACAGCATATTCTGTGAAGCGCTTTGAGACGTCGAGAAGACGTGAAACGCGCTATATCAAATGCAAAGATTATTATTATTATCTCCAAACCTCTCTTTTTGTCAAAAGCTCTGAGCCATGTAAAGATGGTGGATGGATTACGATTGCATAGAAGTACTGTGGCAGATTAGATTGCATTAACATTTCTTCCATTTTCATTGCATTTAAATTTAATGTGAAATGCAATGGCTTCTGCTGTCTGTAAATCTAAGATGCTATAGTTTGATCAAAGAAGACTTTTTCTATGATTCATCATAGCTTCTCTCCTGCTGGAAATGTCATTCCAATGATGCAACAGGAAATGTTAGATCAATATCCCGGAGTTTTTGCTCAATTACCTTTTAGTTCAGGGACAAACTCCACTAAACTCTTTTTGAAAGCGGGTGTATCTATATTTATTCACTAAATTCAGGAAAGTTAATAACAATACAGGATAAATTGCACTGCAAGGAAGAATGAGCTTGATGACCTTTTCTCATTTCATGTTTTCTTTCATAACTGTCATGTGTTTATTGCAAATCAAGAACACTTCAGTCTTACTTACTTAGCAGTCTTCTTTCTAGAAAGTGTGACCAAAACAATTATCACGATAAGCAGAGCAAAGGCCAGGCTCATCCCTATTCCTGACCACTGAGCCACTGGATAAGAAGAAAAAAATAATTATTAGGAACAAGAAATCTTAGAGGGAATCAACTTAAACACTTCTTTCTCTTTACCAATTTTAGTTTCTGTAAGATTGGGGCTGGGAGACTCCGTTGGATTAATATTAAGATGACATCGATTTCCTCTCCATTGACTTGTACACCTGGAACACAACCAGAGCCAACAACAGTTTTATTGAAACCTGAGACCCTAACAATGAAAAGCACATTCTTCTTTTAAAACCATTGTGTACAGTTATAAAATTGTCCGCGTCCACTTCCTGTTTAATTTCCTGCTATTCCACACAGCAGATTCTTTGCTTTATTCGAACTTATAAAACAGGTCTTAGTCATGTGCTGTATGATTGCTCTCTTACAATTTGAGCAAGTGTGCATTTGAAGGAAATGAAGTTCATTATTAACGTGGGTATAAGTAGGTTACAGAAAAATGGGATAGCAGCAAAGACCCTCAGAACATCAAAGGCTGGTGAATACAGTGGGATGTAATACTGCTATGCTTAGATCTCAGTGTGCCTTCAAACTTGTAAATGCTAGTGAGGCAACTTCTGTATTACCAATTACTATTGGAAGGTATTATCACTGGGAACAAGTGTTCTTAGAGTCCCATTAATTAAAAACACAGATGATTATAATTTCTGAAGATGTTATGTGAGAGCCAGGGGAACCATCATCATATGGTGTGACTCTTCCAAGTTCACTGGCAATTTTTCAAATGACTGGCAATGCTTCAAAAACAAACTCTGCATAGAGAAAGTGTTTTGGGGGAAAGCAAAGATTGAATCATTATAACCTAATTATTACTATTGTTACAATGTTACCTGGACAGCTGAATTAAATGTATCAGAGTGACGATAACAAGAAGGGCCTTCATCATCCGAACCACCCTTGTGATCTTGTGAAACACATATGGCCAACTCAGCTAACAAGGTACAATAATAGAGTATTCCATTTCCTTTCTGATGATTCGTTTTTTCTTTAGCTAAGACGGTGTTTGGCTGATGTAAACTCTAGAGGCAATAATTCAAAACAGAAAATAAAATCTGCAGTTTCCTCTGATGACCAAGTTGGAAAAGGTCCCAGTTCAGCTCTAAGTAATTCAGATTTTTGGTTGTAAAGCTAGAATTGTCTTTAGCATTGCTGGACTAAGCTGGAAAAAAGTCAGTCAGTGATTGCAACAACTGAGCACTGGACCAGGCTTGGCTTTGGTGCCTTCCACATGTCAATAACCCATTGACACTCATGAGGGGTTATTTATGTTCCTGGCTAATAATAATGATTTGTTTTGCTTTGGTTCATAATGGGAATTTCCAATTCAAAGATGTAGTGGAAACCTTTCTATTTTCAATAGTTCTCTTAAGTTCAATTGGGATGCTTAAGAGGGAGATGTGCAGATAATTTCTGGATAAGGATATTAAGGGGTATGGGAAAAAGATAAGAGATTTACAATGATCAAATAAAGTGGCAGAAGAGCCCCAACGGGCTAACCAGCCTATTCATGTTCCCATGCTCCTAGGTTAGGACCCACTATCTTGTCTCATGCATTGGCCAGTTGCTTGAGGTCCCAGCAGGTGCTTGTCGAACCGTACTTCAGGATGAGTCAGTGCCTTCGGGAAAGGAGGTGAGGAGAGAATTGACCAAACAAACCTGTATTTCTAATGAGAGGAACAGATGGTTTGATAAAATTCTGCAATTTGCTGAACCCTGACAATCTGTAGAAATTACTACAAGATGTGGAGCGTGAATGTTTTAATTTCTCATTAGACATTTATAAAGGGCTTTTTAATGAGGAGCATAGACTTACGTGCACAATGCAATTTCTTTAGCAATGATGCATGTTCCCCCATTTTTACAAAAGCCATTAGGACACTCTGGAACAAGACAATAAAATTAACAGTGCCAGTCACAAACATGGAGCCCACGGTACGTTTGGAGTAATATTAATTTTCAGAACAATATCATTTGCAACATGAAAACAAAACCCCAATGATTTTGTAATGAAATGTGTATTGCGCCTACATAATACACAGTCGTTACACTTCACAGAATTTCTGAGATGTCCTCCCAACGTGAAAGATACCATATTGAATGCAATGGTTACTATTAGTAATAATAATTATTATTATTGAATGGGCTTGTGCTTTATGTGGTGTGTTCCTACCCGAACAGCTGGATTCATCTTGTTGATAGTCCTTGCAGTTGGTCACATTGTCACAACGTTGAGTAACTGGGATGCATCGACCAGTGGACTCGCAGAGCAATGAGCCATTGAAGCAATTTAAATCAGCTGAAAAAAATAATGAGTAACAATTTTGCAGCACCAGCTGGAATAATATTTTCCATTGAAACAAATGTTGTTGAAAGCCTTTGGGGCAATTTAGTGTGTCTGTTTATAAAGATTAAAAAACTCCCTTATTGAAATATCCTGGCTCTAACTTTTTAATGTTAGTGTTCAATTATTTTTTAATGTTCTCCTTCTTTGCTCCCGGTCTGCCCTCCTCTTGCTGGGATAAAGTTTCACAGGTTGCCCTCTGCCACCTTGCTCAAGTGATCATTGTTCATGCGTGAGCTACTCAACTGTAGAGGATGTCACAGCTGAGCCTGACCGTTCTCCCTCTGGCTGTCACACAGAGTGCCAGACACAATGACACATACAGTGCTTGACACAGTGACACATATAGTGTCACATACAGTGATACACACAGTGTCAATAGAGGGTGCTGTAAAGGGGCCAAGAGCATGAACCCTGGCTGCATTTTCCCCTCTCAAACCCTGAAGGCCGGGGCCAATTTAGCCTCCGCATTCAGCCCTGGTTGAGACAAGCAAACTCAGGACAGACTGGGATTCGAACCAGCTTGCTCCTGGCTCATAAGCTACAGCTCTATCCACTGCACCCTCAGGGCTGCCTCACGTGATATTCTATTTATGTTTTTCCAGCGTCTCTTCATCTGTAAGGTACTGGACACCAGTGCTACAAATGCCAATCTGTACTATCCTGGGTGGTGGTGGGCAAGTGGGAGCTTATAATGGGGCTCCAAAAACAATCAACATTGACAGATTTATAACTCCACTCAGCAACCGAAAATGTCTAACTGTGCTAGAAATACAGTAGCGGTGAATTATCCTACAGGGTGGTAAATTCTGTGCACAGGGGCTTGGAAGATGTAAAAGAGGATGGTGCTCAGTCTAAATAAGTGATTCACTGCTGTGCTGTTTAGTGGCCTAAGAATGGTTCATACATCACAAAGACTGAAAGATAACTTGCTGTTTCTAAACGCAGGAACCTTGGTGCCCAGAACAAATCCATTACTTTCTTTCAGGATATTAAAACCGATAGAAAAATCATGAACTATGCAGTGGCTTTCATTTTTATAACATAAAGGAAAATGAACCACAGTCGTCCTTCATTGCAAAGTACAGGATGGTAACAGAATATTCTCTGTTATTCTGCATTGCCACCGCCACTGGAAATGAAAGACAAACGTTTGCAGTAGAAGAACAGGTCATGCCATTCATTTTAGTATCACTGAGCTTCATAAAACTTGTAATTTTAAAATAGGGCTTTTTAAAATTCTATCTGTCAAGCGTGCAATATTGATAAAGCTTTGATTATCCAATGCTTTTGTTACTGTTAGAATAGTGATAGATGTGTAGATTTTGGATTACGCAAGAGGTTAATCCTTTGACTAACCTCTACTTAATCCTTCTTCTTTACTACAAACTACATACAGGGTCATATTGTCTACCAGTTTCAGTTTCTCATGTTACATTTACCTCACTGCTCTTGTAGTCACAGCCCTTTGAACAAAGCTTTCCAAATACCAGTAGACAGTTAAAAATAGGTTTGCAAGTCAAAGTTACTGAATGTTATACAGGAGAAATGGAGAGTTGTCTGGAAACATAGATCACCTTCATGTTTAGTGTTGCAAACAAACTATTAAATGTGAACAGTTCACATTAATTTACTCTGGGATAGAATTTCTGTTCATGCAGGCATGAAAGAGGTTAATTCTTCACTCTCCTTAGAGATAAAAACGTGCGTCAATTTCCTCTGGCATTTACCTGGGCCAATTTTATTGTGCTCTGGTGCATAATCAGATTTTCATGGCTGCCGTGATGTGGCTGCTGTATGGAAATGATACTGAAATACAACTCAGATCAGCCTGCACTGCTCCATCTGCCTCATTGCTGGAAGCACGTGCCAACTGCAGACATTGCTCATTGCAATTAGAACTTTTAACGCTTCTTAAAAATAACTATTATCTATTGGCATTCATGGAAAAGAAATGTGTTTTCAAAAAAATATTGGTTCTTTGTATTCAAGCGCTCCGGAATGTTTCCCCCTCGTGAAGTACGCTATATACATGCAAGTTACTGTTGTTGTTTTCAGCTGTAAAAGAAAATGTGTTAGTTTGGCTCAGTTGGTTGAACTCTCACCTCAGGACATAGGGAGTGGATGACTGGGACTGGAGGTGGTTCAGCCCCAAATCTATCTACCAGCTCACCAGCTTTTCTCCAGTTTTGGTGAACGGGATGTTGTGGTCGGAGAGGGGCACTGCTCTCACAGTGTGTAACAGGACATAAAGTAAAACAAGTGGATCAGTCAATGAGTTGAGTGAGCTGGAATTGGACGCAGTGCCGGAAAAAACAATAATAAATTGGTCATTTTCAATCCACGACTGCTTGTGGGATGCTGCTGTGCGCAACTGGCTGCCGCGTTTTGCCCACAAATATACAGTCAATTCACTTTACAGTCTATTCTGTGAAGCGCTTTGAGATGTCGAGAAGATGTGAAAACCGCTATATCAAATGCAAGGATTATTTATTTATTATTTAAAAACACACATGCAAATAGACAGAGGCACACACGCACTCCACAGTCTTTAGTAAAGCATGGTCAGAAGTACGAGGAGAACCCATCTCAACTCCCTGCCATCCAGAATATTTTCACCTGCTGCCTATGCCTCTGAATCAGAAGTTATAGATTTAAACAACAATGGGACTAACATTTCAGCGAATTGCTGCACGGCACTTTATTGTCAGAGGTGCCATCCTTCGTCTGAGACAATAAACAGAGAACCTATTTGCCTGTGTAGGTGGATGTTGAAGATCTCATGAACCTACTCAAAAGGAAAAAGGAATTTCTCCTGTCATGGCAATCCTCCACATAGTTTTTTCCTCAACTTCATGGCTGTTCGTGGACACTGCTGTGTGTAAATTGGTTGACAAATACAGCCATTGTATTTGACAGCAATTGACTGTGAAGTATTTTCTGACATTTTGGTACAAAACTGCAACAGCCCGATGCAAGGATTATTATTATAAAAAGCAGTAGAAATGGAATAGGCCAGTCAACCCATCTGACTTGAGGTATTTCCAGGTCCACGTGTAAGACCCACTCAGGCAAGATCCACTTCTATTTACAAGACCTATTTCCAGTTGATGGATCACAGGATTCAACTGTGAGACCTGTAAAACAATAGTTGCAGATCTCTTAGTTGGCTTCTCAGCACGACTATTGATAAGCATTTGGGACAATGGGGCTGCTTTAGGAAGCCAGGAACGTTTGGAATCTCTATTTCACCTTGAAACAGGAATTTGATAAATTCTTCAATCAAACTGAGTGCTTCAGATGACAATCCTTGGCTGCCAAGTATCAGCCAAGGTCAGTTGGTAGCGCTTTTGTCTCAGAGTCAGCAAGTTGTGGATTCCAAACCCCATCATTGGGACTTCGAGCTCATGATCAAAGATGACACTCCAATTTTAATTTTTGGAAGTGTTGTCAGTTGGAACAGTCATTAAACTAAGATCCTGTCTGTCGGGTCAGGTGGATGTTAAAGATCCAATGGCTCAATTCAAAAAGTGAAGGGAGTTTCTACCGGTGTTCTGGCCAACAATCCTCTAAATTGTTTATTCACTTCAATGCTGTTGTGGGACGTTGGTGTGTACAAATTGGATGCCCCGATTGTCTACAAATACCCAGTCCTTACAATTCACAGTAAAATCCTGTGAAACATATTTCAACGTTATAATAATAATAATTCTTGCATTTGATGTAGTGCTTTACTACATCGTTGAGACATGGGAAAATGTATCACAGGATATACTGTAAAGCGTAGTGACTGTGTATTGTGTAACAAATATATTTTATATTATAAATGATATACCAAATGTAAGTATTGTTGTAATTTACAACTTACAACTTCATCTGAGTTCTTGAGAGATGATCCTGAAATTCTTGATATAATTACTGAGCTGGGAGCAACAGACACCCTCACTCACTAAATTCAGGACATTACAGATTCACCCCCTAGAATCAATCCTTTAGGATTAAATTTGTTCTGAGAAACATTATCAAATGCCATCTGAGAATCAGGATGTAACACATGCAACTAATTATCAGCTACCTATAAATTGGTTATGCATACACATCTTTGGATTAAATCATATTATGAGCATAGAGTTAGAATTGGAGTGAAAAGTACCTACTAAATAAACATTTGCCTACACAAGGACACATAAAATAGAATCATAGAATTATAGAATCTAACAGCACAGGAGACCATCATGCCCGTGCCAGCTCTTTGAAAGAGCTATCCAATCAGTCCCACTCTGCCGTTTTTTTTCTCTATAGCCTTGCAAATTTTTTCTTTTCAATAAAAAACAATCAGTACACTTTATAGCAAAACCCTATGAAATGATTTGAGATGTCCTCCCAAAGTAAAAGGTGTTAAATCAAATGTAAGGATTTTATTATAATAATGAAAGTATTTTAATTGGCATGATCTACCTTTGAAAAAGAAATGTGGGCTTAGTCTCAGAACATTTCCTCTCACTGGATGCTCTCTATTCACTTCCTTTATAATTGACTTGAGAAGTTTTCTTTCATAGATTTGAGCTATCAGCCTTATAATTTCCGAGTTCATATTTATGATTCTTTTCAAAAGACTGAAGTCACATCAGCTAACCTACACTCCTCCAGTATACTCCTCTATCTACTGAGCTTCTCCAGAATTCTGCTAATCCATTCATTACAATTCCCTCATTTATTTTAAATTTCTATGAAGCAATCCATCTGTGTCTGCACCAGCCATCAAGTGCTCTGGTTTATTATTGATTGCTTAGTGAAAGCACTGCAGTATATTCTCAATCCACTCCCTAACACTTTACTCCTTGGACGTTAGACTTTAGATTTATTGGTATTGCAACAGTGATATTTATAATCTTGTGAAATCACCCAGCACTGACCGGCAGCTTCCTGTATGTGTGTGCTATGTGCAGGAAGTACCACTGATATGGCTTCCTGCACATGCACGAAATGCGCAGGAAATGATATGCTCCCGACGCCATCAGCATGGCATGGGGTAATGTCTCGGAGTGCTTAAAGTACAGACTGGCCCTGTTATAATGTCAATTCTGAGTTTATGGACGCAAATCCATTGTGTTTTAATATGGTCGACCTGAATGTAGAGGTGAAAAATTAAATGTTTCTTAACAGAATGTATTATGGAATTGATAATCTGTTGAGAAAGATTGCTTTGTTTATTCCATTTTGGAAAGACCAACAGAAAACAGACTGAGTTTGCATTGAATTATCTATGTTAAACAATGAAAACACTCAATAAATATTTCATGATTTAGTTAAACAAAAGGTAGTTAGTTGTTCATTCCCAAACCTGTTGTTAAGAGCAGGTTTTTAGGAAAAAATTTAACTGCAATTTCTGTCCATGTGTTAAATTTATAATTATCACTGAGGATAATTATAGATCACGACCCTCTTCCAATATTTTATTCAGAATTACTGCTGCTACTAATAAATAATAATCATTGCATGTGATATATAGCAGCTTTCAAGTTGGGAGGGCGTTTCAAAACACAAGATTTACTGTAAATTGTAGGTGAAAATGCCCCACTAATAAATCTGCACACTAGGATGCATCTTTGAGACAATTCCTTGCCAGCTATCTGAGAAATGCTAAACTGCTTGGCTGTAATTTGACTGAACTGCTTTTCATACATTGTTAAGTATACCATTGGCAAAACTGCTGTCATGAGCTAATCGTTCAGAGTTTACCACTCTAATCATGTCTTTTATTCCTAAAACAATATTTTCTGTATTTGCGAGTGAACTGTTACAGTCGGCCTATCTGGAACATTGGTACAAATTATACCATCTGGAAACAGTGTAGCGGAATGAAGCTGTAATTGAATAACTGTGCAGATACAATAATATTGGCATGAGGAGGAAAAGCAAGTCAGCCTCTGAGCTGTCTCTTTGGTTTCCGCAAACTAATTGATATACAGACAGTTATCTGTGGGGGTCATAGATTCACCAGGCACAACACGTGCAGAGCTCAACTGTTTACATTGATTCTACAAACGTTTTCACAAAAAATGTTCTTGCCACTGATGCTCAATCGAGTGCAAGTGTCAGAAGTGTCATATTGTATTGTTTTTATAATTGGTTATGAATAATAAAAGCTCCAAGTGCTAACCTAGGAGAAATACATTGAGAAACGCAAAAACCTGGTGTACAATTATTGCTTACATGTGGCCATCTCAGCAAATCACGTTTAGGGCTTCCCAAATTATTCAGTTGGAAAATGTAGCATGGAGGAAAGAATACACCTTTTAATATTATCACCAATACATGTTCTAGAATTCGCCTCAATATCCCCGGACTAGTGAGGAAGGAGAAAGAAGCATAGGTTCCTCACTATTGTGCTTCACCACTATTCAGTGATTAATTTCTGCTGAACAGTGCACATGTGGAGTGTTTATTGATTGTCAACAAGATGGAGATTGGGTTTTGAATAGCCTTCTGTCACCACCTGTTTATACTTATACTAGACAAGATTCTGTTCGAACCTGGCACCTATGGAACTGTTTCGCAATAATGATAACAACAACTTGCATTATATAGCACCCTTCACATGAGTTAGTGTCTCGAGGCACTGCAAAATGGCTTAGTTTGATGGCAAGCTGTTGTTACACTTCAGTGGATGAGGGGAGGAAATTGGAGGGAAGAAGAGTCAGTGATAATTTAGAACAAAGGAACAGGCAGAGTTTATTCAAGTCTACTGAGCCTGTTTTGCCAATGTTTTGGATCTTGGAAGATGCTTGAACCCCATTTCCCTCCCTCTTCCTCATAGCCCTTAATACCCTCATTTGCCACTTTCAACTATTGGTAATTTAAGTCACATTTTCCGATCAGTGAGTAAAACTGTCACAATATGGCTCATTCTTTAATCTACCCTGCTCTAGATGATAGAACAAACACAATCTGCTGTGTGCAATGAAATTGACGATGCATTGTCATAGGTTTGTTGACAGATGAACTGACTTTGAGGGATGTACACAAGGATGAAACGATCAGGTACGGTTGGGGAAGTTTTACTTATTGATGAATCTGTTACCCCTCAGGCACCCAGGCAGTCGGGGGCGGATTCTACACCACACCTTTCAAAGACAGTGAAACCAAGCCGGAATAGCAATAGCAACAACATCGGTATCATAGCCACAAAAATACATAAGGAACACAGGGGTGAAGAATGCAGTTTGTGATGTGATAATTATCACCATTCTAGTGTCATTGTCTGGATCAACCCATCCTGGACATGTTCTTGTCAATGACTTTCACTGGAATTCCCCTCCACTTTAAAAGGTTTTGCCCAATGCCGGTTATTGTTGCCATTGAGATGGAAAGTGGTGCCTTTGATCCTGCTGTCATGCAAATAATAATAATAATAATCCTTGCATTTGATATAGCGCCTTATCATGTCTTCTAGACGTCTCAAAGCACTTCACAGAATGCACTGTAAAGTGAATTGACTGCATACTTATGGGCGAAACGCAGCAGCCAATTGCGCACAGCAGTGTCCCACAAACAGTCACCAAATTATTATTATTTTTTAGCTATTTATTTTTGAAGGAATTTATTACTCCCAGAAAATCCAATCGACTAGCAACTGGGTTCCTACTTACCGCAAGGTGAACAGAGTTGTGTGGAGTAATGAAACTTCCCCAAGGTTTCACTCTGCCTGGGAATCGAACCCAGGTCCTCTCGTTTGCGAGAGCTCTAACCACTAAGTTACAGGACTCAGCATGAATTACATTTTTTGGGGGGGAGGGTAGGGGTGGTTGACGTTCCTATTTGTAATTCTGTTGTTGTTATTGTTGTTACGTTGTAGTCATTGACTGTGACAGAATATCCAACAATGTGATCATCTCCACTGGTGATAAATAACTTTTCACATACCACATTTTTCGCTCCAAAGACTGAGCGTGACTTACGGCAGGTCAATTCATCCTCTGCAGAAAGGCAGTCTGGGACTCCGTCACACCTGAGCAGAGATGGAATGCAAACCTCATTGGAACACCGGAATTCTTTCTCTCCACAAGGTTGCTGAGTAGGCGGGTTCTCTGGTGATTGAACTGGACACTTTGATTCATCACTTCCATCTGCACAGTCTTCTTTGTCATCGCACCTCCATAACAGTGGAATACATTCAGGCCCAACTAGACACTGGAACGTATCAGTAGTACAGTTTGTAGGCGGAGGTATGATTGGCCCTGTAGGAGAAGAAAAATAACCAGGTAATGTAACTGTTTGTTTAGTTGCCGTTTACGTACTCCAAGACACGACCATGCAGGGAGGGCATTATATAAATGCAAATTTGTATTGTATCTTTCTTCCTGTTGCGTTCGCCAGCAAGCACAAAAAAAAGACTATTTTTTCTTTTGGTCAGCAGGGTGCTTGACACATGTTGAAACTCATTACCATGCCTAACAGTATTCAAACCAGACTGAGAGTTCCACACATGTTCCACCCTTCCTCAAAAAACCCACCTTCGATCCCTCTAATCTTGCACATTTCCATCCCATCTCCAACCTACCCTTCCTTGTCAAAGTCCTGGAACGCACTGTTGCAGATCAACTTCGGTCACACCTTTCCCTCCACTCCCTCCTCGAGCCCCTGCGGTCTGGTTTTCACCCTGACTGCCCACAGCACAGAGACAGCGCTTGTCAAAGTCACAAACGACGTCTTCTCTATCTGTGACCAGGGCTCCCTCTGCCTACTCGTCCTCCTAGATCTCTCTGCTGCATTCGACACAGTCCACCACGCCATCCTCTTCCATTAGCTCTCCTCCTTAATTTACCTGAGTGGGACCGCACTCATATTGTTCGAGTCCTAATTAACCAACCGCCTCCATTTCATCTCAGCAAATGTTTCCTCCTCCTGTCCCTGCCTGGTCCCATATGGGGTATACCCTGGCGCTGCATCCTTGGCCCCATTCTTTTCCTCATCTATATGCTCCCTATGGGTGATGTCATCTGTAGACACGGGGTAAACTTCCACATGGATGCGGATGACACACAAATCTACTACTACCTCCTCCAGTACCAACTCCAGGTCCATTGATGTTCTATCAGCTTGTCTGGCAAACAACAAGGCCTGGATGAATATAAACTTATAATAATAATCCTTGCATTTGATATAACGCTTTTCATGTCTTATCGACGTCTCAAAGCACTCAAAGCGCTTCACAGAATAGACTGTAAAGTGAATTGACCGTATATTTGTGGGCAAAAACTTCCTGCAGCTGAATATGGACAAGCCGGAAGCCATACTCCTTGGCTCCCGTCATCGTCTTCACTCCTGCGGATTTAAACTCCTCAACCGCCCTGGGCTCTCCCTCAGACTCACTGAACCAGTGTGTAACCTATGCATTCGGTTCGACCCCCAACTGTCCTTCCTGCCCCACATCTGGTCCCTGACCAGGACTGCTTTCTTCCACCTCCGCCACATTTCCCACTTCCAACCATACCTTACCCTAAATGCAGCCAAAACCCTCATGCATGTGTCTGTCACCTTCTGCTTGCATTATTCCAACTCACTCCTCGTCGATCTCCCCAGCTCCGCCATTCACAAGTTTCAGCTCATTCAAAACTCTGCCGCCCGCATACTGACCCAGACCAAACTCCATACCCACATCTTACCAGTTCTGGCCAGGCTCCACTGGCTCCTCATGACTGAACGGATTAACTTCAAGATCCTCACTCTCATGTTCAGATCTATTCACTCCGTAATCTCCCTACCTACCTCTCCAACCTCCTCACTCTCCAATCGACCCAGTAGCATCTAACATAGCTCATTTATTTTCCTGGGAATAATAATCATAATAATAATAATAATCCTTACATTTGGTACAACACCTACCATGTTGGGAATTCATCTCAAAACGCTGCATGGATATAATGGAAAGTGTAGTGATTACATATTTAGTCGGTGGACACAGCAGCCAATTTGAGAACAGCAAAGTCTCACAGCCATGGAGTGAAAAAAGATGTTTTATTTAGGAGAATGTTGGCCAGGACCTGGGAGAAACTTCCTTCTCTAATGCCAGGTTCATTAATTGCATCAATTCTTCCCAAATTCCATTACCTAACAACTCCACTGGGCACGTATTCCACTAATTTCGTTACATATAGCTGCAAACAGGAACACATAGAAGGCTTATTAATAACAATAATGATCCTTGTATGTCATCCAGTCCATTGTTATGTTATTAAGAGTCTTAAAGAGCTGCACATGACTTTACTGTAAAGTGTATATGTAGACAATGGGAGGGGAATACAGCCATTAATATGATTTTTACTAGTTGTAAGTATAACATGGACATGGTTTAAAAGCTGTGTGTTAGTTAGCAACTGTGAACGCATTTGATAATGCTGAAATGTCACAAAGTGCTTCACAGGTAATTGCTGTCAAGTGTAGTACCTGTGTATTTAAAGACAAATGCAGCAGACAATTTCACACATTAAGATCCCACAAACGCCATGTGAAGAGAATGACCAATTATTCTGAAGGATTATTGGCGAGGAAAAAAAGGGCCTCCTCTTTTCAAACTGAGTTGTGGGATCCTCATCTGAACAGAAGGATAGGGCCTTGGTTTTACACCTGATTTAAAGGATGGATTTGTTCTGTCTTGTCCAGCTAATGCTCTTCGCTGGCGCTGTTGGCTTGTTGCAATTCTCAGGCTGATGCCTTTTACATTTGCAGTTTACAAACCAAGTCAAAAACTATTACACCACTTGCTTTCTGAAATCATGGAATCAGTGTGAGAAATGGCAGAATAGGAATAAAGTCGAAAAAGAACCTAAATAGCATCTCATTCAGCTAACATTCAAACACTGCTTTCAGCTGATCTAAGAAGACCACTTGTGCTCGCAATAATCCTTTGTTTCTCTTTAATAACAGCAGCAATTTACACCTTGTCTCAATTTACTTTCTTATTATGGTTACATCTAGAGCACTGCATCATCTCAACCAACTCAGTGGCATGATAGAATCATAAAAGGTTGACAGCAAAGAAGGAGGGTATTTGGCAAATCAAGACTATTTTGTTGCTGCCACCTCCAATAGAGATATTTCCTCTGATCCAATTCCTCCTCAATCTCCCTTTATCCCTGGATATTTCATTTCTTCAAGTTGTGCAATTAAAAGCTTTAACGCAGTGCATTACATAACTAATACACAGTTGGTATTACCATAGTCATAAAATACCCTTGTTGAAGGATTTCCTTGCCAAATTTACCTTTAAAAGCCAGAATGGTACAACCTGAAGAGTTATAATTTGTTTCAAATGGCTAGAAAAACCTTTGTTTTTATGGTTAGTACTCCGTTTCTCCTTGTTTTTATTTCTTCCTTAGCTGTCAGGCCTTGAGTGCCATGCTCTGAATAAGCTAAACTTTGATCCCAGCTCTGCGCAGACTTGCAGTCAAGCTGTTGTGATACAAGCCTGTAACCGAGGGTTCTTTTTAATGTGAATCAACCACTGTTAACTGCCAGAGGCAGCCTTGACGGCATTGCAATTAAATCAGCAGCACATTGGCACATAAATCCAGCACAGCTGAACAGAAAGCATTTTTATAGTGCCTTATCACATTGAAACATCTCAAAGCGATTCACAGGTATCCTGTAAAATTGATCCCTAAATCTCTTCCCTTCACAGTCCACAGTCTAATGTTTCAATGTTACCTTCCCTTTAATTGCTGTCCGTATTGCATTACATCCCCATAATGATGGGCTGCCTTCTTTTTATTACACGTCGGATGGCATATGGTGCTCCTATGATGATTATTTCAAAAGTGGCAAATCATTAGGGACTCCTCTTGTGCCACAAATAGTGATTCAGATTACATTCCCTCAAAATAGCAGATCTCCACTTTTTATACGGTATCTCAAGACTGAGTTGTTGTCACAGAAATCTCCGTTTACCCTTCTTTTGATCTTGAATCTCCCTTATTCTAAAAGCAGGCAAGCATGAGAAGCCAAAGGCAGAAAAAACCATAAAGAGAATAGCAGACTGAAACTGGATATAGGGACTCTGGTTTTATTTGGCTGCTTTGGCCCTGGCCTTTTGCAAAGAGTCTCCTAAACTGTTCAAAAGGATAACAAGGTTAACAGCATCTGAAGTGTGTGTGGCTGTTCTGCTCACCTAACCTTAGGCAGGGAAAATCGTGTCATTGAGAAGGTACAGAGATGAGCAAACATCATGAATCTGTATATCAGGAACCCAAGGTATTAGGGAAGGTCAAAGAAGCTGGGCTATTCTCTTTGGAAAAGAGAAGGTAATCTAATTGAGCTTTCCAAGACTTTAAGGGAATTCACAATTTGCAGATCACAGGTAGGCAAAATATTAATTACAATGAAATACATGAGGATGCAAAGTGAAATATGTGGAACTTAGACATAAGGTGTTAAGTCAGGCAGAATGAGTTTATACAAAGGTAATAGACTTGTGGAATAATATGCTGGGGCAGATCATTGAGGGATACAATACAAACTGTTTCAAGAAGAAACTTGCAGGAGACAGATTTCTGGAGAGAGGAGATTGGGAGATGTGGTGTCAAGGCAAATAAGTAGCCTTGAGCAACAAAAAAGCCAGGCTCATTGGATCAATTGCCCTTTGTCTGCATCTAAATTTCTTCTACCATTTTTTCTCTCTTGTTGGGCTAAACATATTTCTGGATCATGCATTATGTACCTTCATTTTGTTATATAAATGAATGTGATGCCACAATTACTTTGGCAGGATATATGGAGTTGGACAAGCCCAGTCAAATTACATACCATGCGGTATGTCACACAGTGAGCTGGTACAAGTTAGATCTGGCCTGGAAGACAAACAAATGTGTGTGGCCTCTGGAGCTGACATAGTCTATGACGCATATAATCAGTATTTCACACTACACAGTGCCTGGGTTGCACTTAGACAAAGTAGAAAGGACAGGTAATATCTAACAATTTGGACACCAGAATAACATAAGAAAACTGGCCTTGCACAGCATCTTATTTTGCTGCATTTGTAGCATTTTTATATACAGCATTAGCATAGTGTGAAACTTGGATGAGTGTCTTCAGAATCTGAAGGATGTTCTGAATGTCTGACACTCACACGGACTCCATGCTGGGGGTAGATTGAATTGGAGCAGGGTTTTTGTGGGTCAACATGAGTTAATTCCGGTTACCAAAATAATTCACTTTATTGACTCCCATTACAATTTTT